ATTTATATTTTTTATTCAGTCATTTATTTATTGGAATCCCATTCATCCCTTTCTGAGAACTAAGTCATCTCAAGGTGGGCACCTCAAATCAATAGTGAATTCTGAAAATCTTGGCCTCAACTTTTTTTAAAGTTATTTTTTAGCTGAGACCTTGTCTACCATTTTAACTCTGAATAAAGTGGTAAAGTAGTGTTTTAATCCAAAGGAAACTGTCTCTTGGAATAGAAACTAACACATGGAGAGAGGAATGTTATCAGGTACTGTTGTACTAGATTTCTTCAACACTGAATCTGAAAAAAGACTGCTATAGTTTGTAGGGGTGTGCAAAGTGGGCCCTGTTTGATTCGGATTTGTCCTGAATCAGGGACAGTGATTTCATAGTTGGTAGGGTCAGAAGGGACCTGAGCAGATCATCCTGCCATCCATCCAACCCCCTGCCATACCAACTTGATTCGTTGATTTGGATCACTGTCCCTGATTTGATTAGGCCGAATCTGAAAATTTGATGCTGATTCAGCGAATCAGCGATTCGGACATAGACACAGCTTTAAATGTTTTTTTCTACATACCTCAAGGTACCAGCACGGCTTGTGAAAGCTGTGATGGTGGGGCAGATGGAGTGTCCCACAGGAGTGGGAGGGGCCCTCCACGTGCTTGGCAGCAAACCTGGAAGTGGACCGGAAGTATTCCAGTCCACTTCCAGGTCTGCTGGGTAGCACACAGGGCATGCCCCCCGCATGCACCCCCGGCTTGACGATCAGCTGTGGGGGGACCCCAGGTACCCCTCTCCTCTTCCCCGTTCCCTCTCCCAGACCCAGGAGGCACCAGTTGCTGAGCCAGGGATTGCGGGCGGCGTTCCCCAGCGTGCTCCCCGGCGGATCCAGAAGCGGACCAGAAGTGCTTCTGATCCACTTCCAGGTCTGCTGCCGAGCCTCTGTGCTCCCGTGGGATGCTCCACGCATCCCAGCATCACAGCATTTATGAGCCTCCTGCTACCCAGAGGTATGTAGAAAAAACATTTAAAGTTGTATCTATGTCCGAATCTCTGTGAATCGATTTGGAGGATTCTGATTTGATTCAGAGAAATTAAAGGGTTGTCCAGTTCGATTTGGATTTGGCCCTAGTAGTTTGACCTATTGATGTGCACGTCCACTGAAGTCAATGATGAACTTCATATAGTTTTAATGTATTTTGCAAACTCTTCTACTTTGGAAATTGCCTTTATATACAAGGTATTCAGTCAAGTTTATCCTGGGTAGATGAGATTAAACTGATAAGATAGGAATATTTATTTTTTTAAACATGACTTTGGAATGTAAGAATTTATTAACCCAAGCAGGAGGGGTAAAACACAGCCTCATTTATCATGTTCAGTTTATTTCTTTCTGTCCCAGATGACAGCTCTCAAAAAGTTTTGAAATACTGTTAGTTCAATTCAATGTGTAAAGGAAACACAGTTTTAAGTGAAAAAACTGAAACGCAGATCTTTTTCAACAGATTTGTATTACTTTACCTACAGTGTAGTATAGTATTTTGAGATCTCTTTCATTTACCTACAAAAGTCAGGGATTTTTTTACATTTCAAAATAATTCCATGCACTAAACACACTCATATGAAAGTTATTTTAAGAGGAGATTCTTATTGAGATTCCCTTTTCCAGTCTTGGGGGCTTCATTTTCCTAAGAATATAAGACCTAATTTTTGAATGACCCACTGAAGTTTTCAGAGGGAAATAAAATTAAGCATCTCAAGAGGTCCCTAGATGGAGTTTTTCCTATCTTATAAAAGAAAAAAAATGCAGACATCAGCAGTTTGAAATAACTGGCACCAGGGACATCTCCCAAAGCCTGTGGGGAAGCATTAAAGACAAACAGTAGAATGGCCATTTATGAGGGAAAAACCCAAAGATACCCATAGCGAAAGAAATCATCTAGGGGAAAAAAATCTCTTCACTTAATTATTTGCAATTCTTCAGAAACACTTAGTGCATTTGCATCTGAATATTATCACAACTAGGGCACAGTCAACTCTTTCATGCTCAATAAATTTTTAAAATTTTGAAACAAAGCCATCCTTTAATACTCATCTCATAATTTTATCAGAACCTATAAAATAGCTATTAAAAAATACTTTTTTTAATTCCAGAAAAATGTATTCACCATTAGGAGATCCAACTGTACTGATATATAAATTCTACAATTTACTAATCAACAAAAAGTACAATTTGAAGTAGAGCTGTCGTGGAGACTAAGTTTTCAAGAGACAAACTTTTAAAAGTTTCTCCAGTAAAGTGACTTTTAATCCTTTCAGGAGGATGTCATACCTTAATTCTTTCAAATATTCTGCTCTCTTTAACAGAGAGCAGGCTATTTGAAGGAATGCCACATTCATATTTAAATAGGAATTCCTATTTAAAAAGTTATTATAAACATGCCCTCAAAAATAGATTTTTAAAATTTCAGCCAATCTAGATAATAAAATACTGTCAACTCATAGCTGACTGGCCATCTTTAGCCCTACCATTGTTAGCTGATGATAATCTAACTTTATTCCTGGGGGAACTAGATGTACTTGAATGTGTAAGTAAGCATCTCTCATCAGATTAACCAAATATGTAAATGTGGCAGTCTTATTGGAGAAGATGTAGAAGAAGCATTTGAAGTTTCCCCAATTGAAGTCTTTCCTTGCGTATTGTTCATGGAGCTGCTTTGAGGTTATGGCTGGCCGATAACTAACATTCCCATCCTTGACGGTTGCCACCTCTGACATGAGACAGGGATTATCCAGGTGAAGGATGCAAACTGCGAAGCGTTCTGTGAGAAAGAGAGCCATCACTGAGATTTTGCACTGATGGACATTATACTCTAATTGCCTGTTTTTTTTCCTTTGAGAGCTGCCTTGTGTGCATATTCATTCTCTTTTCAACAAACTAATCCCTAGTTTTATTTTTCTCCTAGGGGATCGTTGAAAACCTTTGTTCATACAGTACATTTGTTGCAGAAACAGACAGATCTGGGATCCCTGCCTGTGGCTGATGTATTATACAGGTAGGTAGTAATTTAGTGTTTTCTATCAACTCTGAAAATGTGCAGATGTTCACGAAGATAAAATGTCCATCCTGAAATGTAACTAAATGGCTTAACTCAATGAAAATTGAAAGCTCTAGGAAAGATCAAAATCCAGTCAATTTACAGAAAGACAGTACTAAAAGGCCAATTCTTGATGAGTCCATTAATGTATGTTTTTAATTAAACCACTGAAATTTCCTTAGAATGACTTAATATGAACTCTGACATGAAGATTTTCACTTTTTAAAATGTTTTTATCTTTAGCTTTTGAGCTGGTTAATTGTTGTGTTCATAGTTTTCCTGACATTTTTCTTTACATAACTTACATTATATCTATCCTCTGTTGTTTAAAGGTTGCTGCTTTTAGAAGGGGGACCTGGATCTCCCTCTTGTTTGTTGGGAGGAAAACACATAGTATCTTGGGGGTTTGAAGATATGTTACCTGCACCTGATGCCAACAGTGGTTCTGGCACTGAAAACAAAGGTGAGCTAGTTTACAACTAGGACAGGATCCATGAAGGGAATGAAAGATACATTTTGGAATGATATGGTGCTTTTAAATCTTTAGAACCTGAAAGTGCTTTCTGCTTCTAGTAAACAGCATAAAAGCAGTCACAGTATATATCAAATGACAGAAAACTGGAGCACTCTGCAATCAGATGGAACACACAGGTCACATTTTCAGAAGTGAGCGTAAATGGGCCCTACAGAAATGGGCAGACAGCTGTTTTATCTGCAGAGCTCCACCTTTGCACAGTAAAATGGCTAGCTTGGCTGTCATTTTTCCATCTTGCACATTCCAAATTTACTTTTATGGTCAGGGATCTAATTTTACAAGGCTACCCACACTGTTATTTTGGTGCATTGGTGTATAGTACAAACTCAGGAAGATGACAGTATTGGTTTTGCACTCTGTTCATGTGTACACAGTTAAATTGGCAGCCACGAGGGCCAGAATATTTTATTTTTTAAAGAAAGCTTAGATTCTCTGTTTCTGAATCTATAATGCAGAGCACCCAAATCCATTAAATAGACTGGTTTTTTTTAATATCCCTGTTTTTATATAGTGTGTGCCATAGTTAGAAACCTACCTAATATATGTCATTTACAAAAAAGCTGGTGGTCTGAACGTGGAGGTGGTCTCCATTTTCACAGTGGAGTGTTGCAGGGTCATGTGTTGTCTGTCCATGTTTCCCCCTCTGCCATGTCTCTGGCCAATGGCCCTTTGTCAATCTTTAGGGAGGGGTGGGACTTCTGGTGCCCCTCAGCCAATCAGCTGCACTCTGCTGCAGAAATTTCTTTTACCTCCCTCCTGCTCCCCAAACTCCCTCCCTCTTGCTTGAGGACGGAGGACCTTCTGCCCTTTTGTTTTTGCAGCGCACTTTCTCTTTTTTTGTCCCTTCCCAGTCGCTGCCAACTTTTTCACAGGGGACCTTCCAAATCCATGGTTTCCACAAAAATCACAAATTGTGAATTTGGTAGGTCCCTAGCCTTAGTAGTCAACAGTGAATCAGATTTTTCTGCATTTCCTCCCCTTTACTTAGAATTTCATATTTTTGTAACTGACAATTAAAAAAAACATGTTAGAGATGAGGTCCTCCTTGATCAAAAATCTTTCTCAGTTTAACAAACATCAGAGGAACAAATGGTTACTTATAAAGAGAAAAGGTGAGTTGCATCAGTAATGATGTTACAACTGTATGGGGGTACTGTACACTTTTTCACAAGGCTCCAAACAGTGTTTTAAGCAGCAGGGGTGGTCTTGAGCAGAAAAGTTTGCATGTTAATACATTTTAGGTGTGTTCTTCCCGTTTGGTACTGATATGTGAACAGCAGTAGCCTCTTGTGACACCATAGAACAGTGATTCTTAACCAAGGTGCTGCAGCATCCTGGGGTGCCTTGAGATGCTTTCAAGAGGGCCATGAGGTGCCACACAGTGTTAGTAGTCTTGGGTGTACAAACATCATTCACAACATAAACCCAGAGATTTCAAATAGGAATTGATAGCATTAAAAAGATTTTGAGCTGTTGTGGTCTTTCTGAGTTCTTTGCAACAAAAGAAATAGTATATTATTATTTTGTAGTCAAAAAATGAGTGAAAAATGAGAGCTGGCATTTTCTGAGTGGTGCCTTGAGTCTAAAAAGGTTGAGAACCACTGCTCTGGAAAGAAGAATTGCATTCTTGTCAAGAAAATAAAAGAAAATGGTCCTCCACTCCTTTCTGCCCTTTAATAGAAAATGCTAAAAATGTATTGTAAGAAATCATTTTAGATTTTGATAATGAAGATGAAGCATTTTCCATCTACAGTTAGTCCTGTTGAACAGGTCCTGCTTCCCAAGCACAGTTAACTGCAGCCATCCAGCTTGCACTATATTTGTTGATTTAAAAGTCTGCAGCCAGTAAAGTCTATGAGCTGTTTATCTGTGTATACAGTAACTGTGGCCTCAGCTATGAACCAAGAGCCATCTGGGATTTGAGGCTGCAACTTTAGGGTGAAAAGGTAACCTAGAAATAAGAAACTAGTGAAATACATGTCCTAGATGCCTGTTTTTTTCCTACAGAGTGAGAAGGAATACACAATGAATAACTATGTATAAAAACTACAGTACTAATTCTGATCAGTGTAGAGGAGAGTCTCCCATAGGTTTTCAGTCATTGATCTGAGTGTAACAGACATGATCGTCATGTTTGTGTTGCCTGTTAAAGGTCTCTGATCATTTCCTTCCCATTTCAGATGCAGATTTAGGGCGCTGTCTTGCAGCAGATGGACTCTATCTTTATACAACTAATTCAGTGGGCAGAGGAATAAGCAAATTAGGATCTGGATTACATGGTACTTTACGGTAAGCCACAGCAGAGCTGAATGTTCACATTGTTATATTTCTTCCTCTGCTCATTTTTTATCTTGTCAAGATAAATCTTTTCAAAGGAAATGAGATGTGCTAAGTATCTTAATTTTTTTATTACTATTATTAAACCAATTTTTCAGGGAATCAGATTTTGTTACTGGTTTTCCCCTCTGATAATTATTGCTGTTAAGCACCATCCAAGTTAGGCAATCATTTATTATGCTTTTGTTAACATATTGAAAGCTGTAGTTAGTTAAACTGCAAACTGGTTTCTAGTTATGGAATTTACTATACAAATAACTAGTTCATTACTTATAATTTTTGAAAGATAAAACCAGCGTTACAGCACTAAATATTTAGATACATGAATCTGTAGGTAGGGTCAGGAGGAGTTCGGGACAGTTCTGAAAAGATGTAGCATATTTAAAGGTTTTAACATCCTACCATCCTTTTTTCCAGAGGCTTTGTATACTGTCGTAACGAAGAGCTGGAGGCTGGTTGGGTTGCTTTTGGCAATGGCAAACTTCTTCATCGTCCTGTCTCCTTTGATAATAAGCCTCACTCCCTTTTCCAGGTCATTGATCAGCATACACTTCAGGTAAAAAAAAAAAAAAAGAGAGAGAGAGAGAGAGAGAAACCTGTTGGTAAAAATGTTCTTCATTTGTCATAATATTTAGTCTAGTTCCATTATGCTCAGAGTCTGTTTATTCCCCTTCATGAAACTACCTGTAGCTCCTCGTTGAAAGAGTTATATGACAGCTAACAAGCCATCTATGGTGTCACAGTACTTGTGCATACAGACCACAAACTAGTAGTAGCAGAACACAGGCAAAGAAAAATGGATTTTTGGTGGGAAATCAACTAGTTTTAGAGGATGCAAAACTCCCAGACACTTCCATTTCCCGCAAGTGTAAGAATAGTGTAAATCTTTGCTACTCTTCAGAATCTGTGTTTTGCAGACCAGCCACACTTTCTCTCAACGTGGTTAAAGGATTTTTTTTCCTGTTCTGGATTAAAGAAATTCTAGTAAAAAAATAAAAGAATAAATTGTTTTGTTGTTTCTAACTGCATACAGTGAGTTTCCTCAAACTCAGCATTTTGATTCTGGAAGTTAACATTTTGGAAAAGTAGGGGAAAGCACAAAACTGTTAGTACTTGTATGATACCATTAGAAAAATGTGTGTACCTTTCCTGCAATTTGAAACCAGTGACTTTTTGTGTATTGTAGATGGGTATTTAGATGTCTTGCTAGCACGGACTTCTAGTAGGCAAACATTATATGCTACCCCTCAAACTAACTAATAATTAAAAGTGCACAAATAAGCCTAACAAGCCTTGCTACTAATACCAAAACACCCTTTTGATATGTACTGCTAGACTTGAGAACAGACTGTGAAATGTGAACTGGTAAGACTCTCTCCTTTTTTCTTGCTTTCCTACTCTACTTGTAGGTGTGTCAAATAATCCCAATGCCAGTAAATCACTTCCCAGTTGGCAGCACTATGACCACCGTGCATCTTTCTTCAGACGGTACCTATTTCTACTGGATTTGGTCTCCTGCGAGCCTCAATGAAAAAACACCAAAGGGACACTCTGTCTTTATGGACATTTTTGAACTCATAGTAAGTTTAGTTTAAATATACTTTGCAACCGCTTTCTTACTCTGTCTTAATTTGATAACATGAGTAGCACTTTAAAATGCCAACATTTAGTGAAGTTGGGAGACACAAAAATGATGGATTTAAGTGCTAATATTTGTAACCTAACAAATAATAAAAATATCAGCAAATAACTACTATTGAACAAAACAAAGTCAAGCTATAAGTTTTGCACTCTAAAAGGCATGCTGGCATAACAGTTGTACAGTATGTGCAATATATTTGCATCACTGTTCTTGGTTCATTTCATGCTGAAATAAATAACTGAATATAAATGTGAAATATATATCAAAAGTTGTTTATTCCAGATTGGCCTTATTCCATTGTAACACAATAAATAAAATAAATTGATCATTTTCACAGAAGTCATGTATATGCAAAGCTGCATAATTCACTTTGCAACCAAACTTGTCAATCACTGGCTTTTAAGTAAATCTGAATGCTTTTCAAAAAAATTACACTTTTTGGAGATCTCTAGAGTTTGGATTTCTTTTCCTTTCAACAGCCCCTTTGTATGCAAAGGAAGTGTTAACAGTGTAACGCTCCTGTCTCAACACTGTATAAAATGTTAGTATTTATCAAAATGGCATCTTTCCTAACAAAAGCCCTGCTTATCATTTTGCTGGTATTGCCATTTCTTTGCTGTACAGCAGTAAAACCTTCTAGTTGTAGGCCTTCTCCATATTATCCCAAACTACTTAATCAAGGGACACTTTCCCTTCAGATTTTTCGCGCTGTGCATGACGGCAAGGCCTTTCTTCTCAAACTTAATGATTAAAAAAATCTCATATAATATACCCTAAAAATAAGAGGTTGTATAATTATAGATACATTTATAGAAATTAATTATTGCTATGGAAAACAGACTAACAGTTCTGCATTCCAAGGGACTGAAGGTATTACATTCAGGAATGTTGGTTTTACATCTTAATCAGAATAAATCTATCTAGATATTTACAGCAATTACCTTGTTAAATAATTTTTGCAAGAAGTTCTCTATTATCTCCTTTATCTTAGAAATTTTTATATCTAAAGACCATTTTTCTCCATTTGAATAGGTAGAAAATGGTGTATGCATAGCAAATCCTCTACAGGAACGCATCATACTAATGAGAAAAGAGGGAGAGTCTGCAAAGAGTATTAATGAAATGCTTCTGAGTAGGCTTTCAAGATACAGAGCCTCCCCATCAGCAACACTGGCTGCACTAACTGGCTCTACCATCTCCAATACCCTGAAAGAGGATCAAGCAGGTTAGAAACATTCTCTATCGTTTCACGTGTTTAGCACATTTGTTTTCAATGATGCATAATTTTAAGAACTACTATATGTGGCAAGAGAAATAATTCTGTACATACCATATCTTGCACACCTGTGTGTATGGTGTCTATATTTAGTTTCTTTTCAACTGCTGTCAGACACAATACTGTTTTTTGCCTACAAGTGTATTAAAATATTTTTGAGCTGTGTTAACTTCTTTGCAAAGATAACTTTGAAATATTTATATAAAAGTACTTTGATGCAGATGGTTAACACTCAGAAGTCTAGTAGAAAAAATGTAGTTCATCTTAATATGAATTAAGCTTCTGGAAGTGGACAGAAGCTGAGCATTGAATAACAGGAGCTATAATTGTAAACCCAACATCTTGTTATTGAAGCTATGCTCTTGAATGGCTCAGTTCTGCCCCCCTTAATCACACTGATTGGTACCTTTCTCATCACTTAGTTCCACAGTTTCAGTACAACTATTTCAAGATTAAGTACAATTCAGGATGCATTGGCCTTTTAAGCATTATGTTTAACATAGCATACTGCAGTGGAGAAAATATAATTTCTTATTTGAGAAGCAACTTATATAGTGCAACTTGGAGGTAATTTGTTTAGTTGCTTATTTTGTTAAAAGGAATAATTGTAGAAAAGTAGGGAAAATATCAAGCGAATTTGCACTGCAGATCACCCCTAAATTACTCTTGAAAGGCCTCAATCTCCCTTTGTGTTGACATTACAGCAAACCTCCTGAAGTAGATGAAAAAATGTTTTTGCCACTGCATCTTGTAAACTTTCCATAGGTTATATGAAATTTACTTAACTGAAAATTTCAAAATCCAGAAGATATACATGAACATCCTGAAATAAAACCGATACTGTTACACATATGTGGGAAAGATGTGTTTTAGACAGAACTGACTTGCTTATTCTCTCAGCAAATAAGTTTTAGCAGGGAGCTTCTCCTTATGTATACGTTCTTAAGGACAAAGCTACCCGCCTTTATGTGGATGAGTAAGTAAAGCATGGGAAGGGATTGGAGCAGGGCTGAAGCCTGTTTGGAGTGGTAAGCAAGATCTGTGAGCTTAGCAAGTGCTTTCTGAGTTGATTGAAGTCATGTGATGATCACCTCTTCCCCCTAATGGACATGACAAAGGACATTTGAATAGTTACATATCTGATTCTAACAAGGTTTGGACAAAATGTTGGTTATGGGTAGAGAGAAGAAAGGACAGATTTTGGCAATACTGTTTGAAAAGGAAAATTGGCAGGCTTGGACATTGGAGAAAAAAAGTGAAGGAAGAGTTTAATTGCCAGGATAGTGAACCTGTATCCCATGGGGGGTTAATGAAATTGGGATGAAAATGGGAGAAAGGGGAAAACAAGCTAGATGTAGAAAGTATCTTGTAAGCAGTCAAAAATGGCATTTGTAGTATACTGGGGTAGAGATCCTTAAAAAGAATCCTCCAAGAAATATAAAAGGACTTTTTTTTTCAAACAAATGTTTTATTTTTAGACAGTGGTTTGTAATTAAAGCACTGACAGATCTGTAATGATAGCATAATGAATTACTTCTGTTATGGCATCATTAATTCTCACTAGGAATAGGATACTGCAGAAAATCCTAAATAAGCTGCTTCTTGTTGTTTGATATCAGAGGCTTTCAAAATGAATTTTGATATTGCACCACTCGGTGTACTCTGTGTGAGAACAGTTAATCTTATTCTTAATATTTTATGCAAGTGACAGAGTGTATGTTGTAAAATTTCATTAACCTTGTATAAATACATTTTGAGCAAGAGATGCTCAAATGCGATACTCCATGCTGTTTGAGGCATCTAGGTATCATTCCCATTCAGAGCTTTTCTATCATACCCTATTCATTTTGGGGCTGTGGTGGAATTTCTCTTCTTTGATAGTGTCCTATATTATTACTGATGAAAAGGCAAGTATATGGATGTTGGTATAAAATATGTATGTATTGTAAATATTACAACATTACTTTGTTATGAACTTGACAGTAATAATTTAGGATTGTTTTAATAAGATTCCTTGATGAAACTGGTATATTTATTACTTCCATGGCTTTTGATGGATTTTTTTTTTAAGTATCTCCCCCAGGCAAGATTTTATTTTAGTTAGGTCTTGAACAGTTCTCTTCCTCTCCCAAAGATGCTCTGGGGGTCTGGGCTCACTGGCTAATGTTGGATCATGGTAAAGTTCTGAACTTTTAAATACTTCATAGATCCAGCTACCACTTAAGTACTTGGAAAGCTAGAAGCTTGGGTGGAATATACAATACTTTCTGTAAATATTTTCTTAAAGTTTGTACAGATCTTACAGACTGTGTCAGGGTATAGAAAAAGAAGATATGTGGACATCTTTAAAAGGATCATATATGGCTAAGTAGTGGATTGAAGTGTTGTAGAAAGAGAACTCTGAGTTGCTCATGAACGAACCCCAAATAGATAATGCTTGGGGAAGGGTGGAGGCAGCTTCATTCTAACCTGCTTCTCTGGGTGGTTAGCTCACTATTGGTTAATAGATGTAGAGGATGTGTTAAGGCAAAGTGATGATGAATCCCAGGGGGCCTCTTGTCTTTAAAACCTTTTCTGGCTTTAAGATATTGCCCCCAGTACTTTATCACCTTGTAGTCCCTATGGCAGATGTCTCTCTGCCTCTCTGTGTTAGGTACTTGTTTTCATTTTTTGGCTAGGTTTTTATGGAGAGGGTGGAGTGGAAACTAAGACTTGGTATTCTTATTCATATTTAAAGATGTGTTTTTTTTTCTAAATTGTATTGAAAAATACATTTGAAACCATGTATGCTCCCTTAGGGATTAACACCTAATTTATGAAGGATCTTTAGGATCTAGTGGCTACTTCCAAATACTGCACAAATGTTGCTAATCAGAATTTCTGGTGAATTTATTTAAATTCCAAAACCAAAGCCTATAAGTCTTGCCACCTATTATATTCTACATATTTAATTGTTCAGAAAAACACATTTTTTACTGTAGTTTCTATTTAATGTTTCAGCTGCCAACACTAGTTGTGGGTTGCCACTAAAAATGTTACGAAAATCTCCCATTTACACATGTGGAACGTATTTGGTGATGTTGGTCCCACCCCCTGGTGGATCAGGCAGCTCTGCTACACGATCACTGTTTGGTGGTTCAAGTGGTTTGTCATCACTGAAAAGTAAGTGTGTTGTGTTTCTGGCATATCTAAGGAAACTCACTCCTGTAAAATATGATGAACTTCGGAGAGATTAATTGGAGACTTTTTCTTCTTCTCTCCGAAGTCCTTGCTTCTAGCTTGGTGTTCAGTATTTCGGATGGGCAGTTCACAAGCCGAGCGGATCTCATTGATGCTGCAGGAAGCTCACTTGGACGTGGGGCCCTCGTACCTGGACTTGGTAATAAATAGATACATTTTATGAGAACCAAGCAGTAAATGTAGCAACCTGTTTTCTACCTAAATTCATTTCAGTTGGCCATGCCTCGTAAGCAATTTATGAGCTCCCAGATTTATGGATTGTTTAAATTTTGTAAAAGTCTAAATGCAGACAAGAATTTGTGAAGTGAAAACTCAGGACATACTGGAGGAAGATCCTGGTTCTCATTTCTCAGCCTTATACAACATATAAGTAACATGCCAGCTTCAGGCGTGAGCAAAATCCTAGCAGAAGAGAATAATAGAAGAATTTTTGTTCTAAATCTTCTTCTTGTTCTCTTTTTTCTATAAGTATGTAGTATGTGAATAATTAGTGAGTATGTGAATGGTTGTAGAAAAGGAACTGTGAAACCATTTTATCTGATTTTTTTTCTTGGGAACAGTAGCATCTGATACAGCCCCAGCTTTTCAGTTGACTGCAAATGGTAGCAAGCAATGAGTGATAAGATCATGGTGGAATACTAAATATAGAACTAACATGTTTCTCTGAGAGAAGAGGAAGGGTATGCATTAACAACTTTAGGAAAATTCTTTTAATATTTTGTTATTCCCAGCCATTATTTTTAAGTAGCTTGGTGTGCCATGTGATAGAATTGAGGGCATAATACCGGATATAGCAATATTTCGGTTTAAAAATATTATGGTAGAATTTGCTATAGTCAGATATTTTTTAATACAGGTATTTATTTTTTCTCTCTGCAGGTGCATGTTATGATACTATGAATAACATGATCTGGACATGCTCTAATGACTATATTGATCAATGGTGTAATCCTGGAAACCAAGCTTTCCATTATGTCTGTCAGAGACTAGGAGTTAGCCATATCATTACAGAGCCCAAAGGTGAGGTAAACCTACTATCAGCACTTTGTATAAGGTGCAAGTGAAATATGTAAGTGAATTTACAGTAGCATACTGTAAATTCAAATAAATGGCTAAACAGACTTTCTTTAGAAAGTCACAACATACTGCTCCATGCAAAAGTGGATATACTTATTGGACAAAATTATTTGATCTCACTGAAGAAAAAGATGTTTTTGCATGTGTGTTTGAAAGATACCAGGTTTTTACTGTCTTTAGTGCTTAAAAATATTGCACAGAAATCCTTTGCTTTTCATGTAAGTGGTAACAGAAACACTGCTGCATTGACCTGATGCTGATACTGATTTCATAATGTATTTTAAATGTGGGTGTACATTTCATAGAAGTATTGAAATTTGATTTTCCTTGTAGGGGATGCTATAACCACAAATGAGGTTATCAACCAGTTACTGCACCATGTTGGTGCCATGTGCATCCACCAACTCAATCTACTTGCAGCCAGTAACAATCTCCCAGTAACAAATTTTTTGGGCAAGCAACATCCAATTGAAGCACACCATCTCAGCAGTATTTGTGACATCATGGAGAAAGCCATGGTTAATGGAGACACTTGCATTATACGCTGCATCCTTGTTGTCTTTCAGGTATAAACTAACCTCAAATATATTTAGAATCAGCTCTCTAAAGGAGATCTTTGAGAATGCAGGCTAAAAAGTAAGCTTTTTTAAAAAAGGAATGGTGACTTTTGTTGAGTAAAAAAACTAATGGACATAGACCTAAAATTGACATTGTATTTCTCTTTGTTTCTATAATGCCTTCCAGCCTAAAATTAGGACTCTGAGAAGCAAATACTTATCCCCATTTTGCAGAATGGAAAGGTTCCAGAGGGTAGGAAGTGCAAGGGTAGGAGGGATGGCTTGTCTTGTTAACCTGCTAGCCTGAAACTCAGGAGATTTTGGATCTAATTCCTGACTCAGCTGCAAATTTTGAGGGATCCTGTGCAAAATTAGGGTTTTAGCAACAAAAATATTCAAAATTCTTTTCCCCATTAAGCCACTGTTAAAGATGTTTTTCTTAAGGATTTCTCTAGAGCAGGGAGAAAATTCACTTTTAACTTTCTGTTTTTGCAGGTGGTTTTAAAATTTTTCTTCAGCCCCCAAACTGAGAGAAACAGAGACATTGTTAGAAGATCTGGCCTGTTACTGTGGCAGTTACTGATGGCACCAAAGGACCAGATTTGTTCTGAAATTCAGAAGGAGGTTTGCCTAGCAATCAGGTAAATATCAGCTGTTTACTCAGATCCAGGTGAATCCTAGCTCTGACCGATTGCTACAAAAGAGTATTATGATTGGCTTAGAGGGTTTTTAGGCTTTCCAGATTAATCAGGTTAACAGTACAGCTAGCCTCAATTTTATTACAAGAATCTAGGTTTTAGTTGTGCCTTCAGCAATTTAATTTTAGATTAGTATCATTGCATCTTTTAAATCTAGCATGTAGTTTGTATAGTGAGGATACATTAAGTGGTTATGGTGACTTATTAGGTAATAGCTTACATTACATCTACTTAAAAACTCAGTAGTAGATTTTATTAGCTACAGCATCTTTATTTTGTCACCCTGATCAGGTGCATGGTGTTGAATAGCTGCAATATTACAGTTAATGACTGTAGATGGACAAAGCAATTACATTGCTTTAAAAGGACTTTCCAATTATAATAAGTTTTGTCTGTCACAATATGGGAAACTAACCCACAATAATTTTACCTAAATGAAAGAGGGAGTAAAATTATTGCAGTTGAGCTTCTATTAGCATAAGAGGACAGATGAAAGAGGTAATGCAGTTCAGATGAATCTGCTATATTCCACCCCTGCTTTTAAACCAGCATAATAGTTTCATTTGTCCATACTTCAGTCATGGGTGAAGTGATTTCCTTGAGCTGTAATGTATAAGTTTGCATATGCTCTAAAATGAAGGTAATATTTGTGTTAGGTGTAAATAATAGTGCTTCACAAAGTAAGTTGAGATTGTTGGGAGGTGGCCAGGAGTGTGAGGGCAAGCAGAGTGGGTTGTGGAGGATGCTTCTAGGTTGATGAGCACTTTGAAAAATTACAGAGGGGATAGCACATTTGTCCAGTGAATCACATAGGGAGGAGAGACAAGAAACCTGTGCACATGTGGGAGTGAACACAGTGTGTCTGCTGAGACATCAGCCCTTGAAAAGCTTACACAGAACAGCTGTTTCAGCTCCCCAGCATGCTAGATGGTGCTGCTGCTGCACTTGAACTACAAGCTGAATGACTTCTTTTCCATGGTTTGTCAAAACAGCCGCAGGGCCAAATAGAGGACAATAACAATGGAAAAAAAGGCAATTGTCTATCAAGAAAACAAGATAATGTTCATCTCAAGGGCAAGGAAAGTTGTCTCCAATGTTCTGTTCACAGATCTAAATCTGCTTTCAAGTGGGAAGTGTTCCAAGGCTTGAGAACAAAATCTTCCAAAGATCAACCTGTGTGTTTTAGTTACAAACCACAAAGTTCCACAAGGTTTGCAACCATTGAAGTGCATGGGAGAATATATTTGAAAATGTCTTTGGATTTGTTCACTGCATATATTGATATTGGGCAACAATTAAGTTATTGTTACACTATTTAAATGTTTCTTTGGTCAGGAAATCTCTTAGAACATTTGGGGTAGATAAAGAAAAGAGCAGATCAGTGAAGACCAGAAATCCTTCCTTTTCCTTATTGTGGTATTAAGATACTAACCTGTACTTCAGACTTGGAATTCATGATTTTTTGGACAAATCTGGAATCAAATCTGAAATATGATTCATTGATTTTCCATGAGTTAATGATTTTGAGTCTTTATTTCAAATCTACTTGGATATGGTCAGCCATGGAGTTAAGAGGGAGCAAATGGCTCAGGGCAAGAGAATCCTCTGTTTAGGGAGCAAAACTTATTTAACATATAGTATAAATTCTATAATATAAATTCTATGATTCTAAATAGCAGGAGAAAGCAGCTGTCGATATGATATTATTTTATTTTTTTTAGCTCTGGTTTAAATATCCTATATCCTGGAGAAGCAGAAATCAATAACTTACTTAAGTTGGTCTTAACTGAAGGTAAGAAGTTCTTATTGTCATTTTGGAAAGTAATTCCTGTAATTGAAAACGCAATAGAAGATGTGTGTTATTTTGTGGTGAACACTCTTCCGTTTCTGGGATCAGAACAGTTTAGGAATGCTAGTGAGTCTTAGCTGATCCCACCAGCATCATTATTTTCTTGGAAGTCATATGATGTTTTAGGTCTCACACATTATTCTTTACCAGAGTATTTGCAGTTGTCTAAAGCAGTGATTCTAAACCAGGGTGCCATACACCCTGTGGTGCTGTGAGATCCTTTTAAGGGTGTTGTGGGATGCCACCCAGTATTAGCACTGTTAGATACACTAATATAGTGTCAAAAGCATTCTGACCTGTTGTGGTCTTTCTGAGTTGTTTACAACAGAAGAATCTGTCTGTTATTTTTCTGTAGCTAAAAAACGGGTGAAAGCTAAGAGGCGGCATTTTCTGAGGGGTGCCTTGAGTGTAATGTGGAGTGTATTGAGTCCTAAAAGGTTCAGGTCACTGGTCTGAAATCAAGAAGGTTTAAAAATCTCTTCCAATAAATATCATGTCCCATCCTGTTTTGCATAGCATGGGAATGTTGTCTCAGAATTTAAGATGGGAAATTAGGAATTTCCAATAAGTTCCTTTGTCTGTAGAGAACCACAGTAAACAATAAGAGTAGTTACTGTTGGTCTGTAGCGTATGGGAAGCAGATGCTTTATGAATTAACAAATATTGTTTCTATAAAAGGCTGTTTTATAAGTTTTCATCATCTGTATCATAAATATGTATTCCATTGTAGGAGAGAGAAATAGTGGTCTCTCCCAACTTCGTGATGTGATCCTGACTAACTTAGCTGAACAGCTTCAGAACAACAGATTTGGAAGTGAAGATGATGATCATTACAGGTAAATTAGAATAACGCTTATCTTCGTCACTCTTATGAAAAATAGGCTTCAGTACATATTAGGAGCTTTATTATAAACTTGGCTGCTTTATGCCAAAATTGCTCATATTCCTGTTGCAGTTTGATGTATTGCTAGTTGTATGATTGTACTGCATCACTTGCCTAAGAAGCGCTAAATTCTCTGGGCAGTTTGAGGTATTAATGGAATTCTGGAGATTTCTGTAGAGCTACGGGAGTGCTTTGGAGGAGCCTTTTGTGGAGTCCTCAGATCAGTACAATAGAGCAGATAGCATTCTATAATTTGACATGGCACTCCACATTCCCATATTACAATTGCTGCTCTTCTGCCACAAAACTAAGTTACTTCAAGACTGAAGTTTGGGAGAGGTCTGTTTTTAAGAACTGATTTGCATCATGGAGTCCCTCAGAACTGGAACAAAATGAATGCAGATCCATTGCACTGAACTCTTTTAACCAAGCCAGGGCTAGTTTTTCTTGTATGAATTGTGGTAAGATGGAAAATTTTCCAGTGTCTTTGGTATGTTATGCTCTAGCTAGCATGTCAGTCCTTCAGCATTTCTGATACAAAGTCATTTAGTTGGCTTCACCTAACTTGTAATGTGGTTTGTCAGGATTTTACACTCATTTGAAAAGTATCCATCCTGATCAACTTCTCCTTATCTTTCCTGAATCTTAAAGACTAAATGATGAGCTGTTGCACTACATTCTCAAGATAGTTGTTCGAGAATCTTGTGTCTTAATCACCAAGTGCCAAACTGTATCTAAAGATGACTTTCAAAAGCTTCTTTCAACTGTGCCTGTAAGTAAAATGTACCTGATTAAAAATGTTACATATGCTTAAGATTTTTTTTCTTTTTATTCAGCCCAGCCGTTTTTCTCCTAATGCGTAGAAATATAACTAACTCAGGATGTAGCCTTCAGAAAGATAGGTGAGGTAGCTTCTTTAAGTTATACTGTTGCAAACATGAAACCTGATTAATCTTACAAATTTGAAATGCCCATAAATGGAAAAAGACAGTTGAAAAACAGTAACATTCCTTCAGTGCAAAGTGATCCTTTAAACCGTGGTTCTCAACCTTTTTTGTACCCAGACCCATTTGTAAACATTGATGGCCAGTCCTGACCCAGTGCCCCTCACTCCCAGTGTACTACCCCGTGCCTCCCCTCCAATGTGTGGGGCAGGGGGGCCCCAAACAGCCCCTTGCAGGCTGGAACTCTGGCAGTCTGCAAGGGGAAAGCCACGGTTTCCCACATTTTTCTCTTTTAGTGTAGAATCCATTTTTAAAGTTTGTTGATCCATTTTTAAAGTTTGTTCAGAACCATTTCTTATATTCTTGTTACCTACTTTTGGGGCGTGATCCACGGGTTGAGAAACACTGCTCTAAACAGTGCAGGGTTGCGGACTGATACATTGTCCTTGTCACTCAGCTGTTTCAGTTATTTAAAAAAATACTTTCATATAGTATCCTTCAAAATTTCAAAGTAATATACAAAATAGGATAGAAAACAGAAAACCTTTCAGAGTCGTATAAACTGGTGCATACAGAGGGGAGGAATGCTGTAGGTGCAGAAATAGGAGATGAGAAAAAGCTGATACTTAAAATGTTAGAAATGCAAATAAATATTCTCAGAGTCAGCTTACAGAATGGAAGGATGCAGTGACTGGGAAATATTAATTGGGGTGAGGTTTGGGATGTGTAGTGTTTCAGATTTACTGCAGTAGTAAATCGCTAATTCTCATTTCAACCTTATTGACCCTGTACTCCTCATAAATTACATGCCAACCAATTATGTCCTGCCTTTCAGCAAAGATCCTATGGCTGAGCTCTGCAATGAGGTCTTTTGTTAAGATGTCATTTTTCTTACAATATATATGTGTAAATATTTAATGCTTAGTTGCAGCTGCAATTTTTCAAATAAAGTATAATGCAAGATGTAAAGCTTTCAAATGTTTCATTTATTTGTTAATTTGCAAAATTCAGTGGTTTGCCATTGCTCCCAACACTTTAGCATGAAGTAGGGAAATTCTGCTGATACAACAGAAGCAGTGTAGATCGGTGGCAGTAGTCTGTTCAAGAGAAGTAATTGTTTTCCTTACACTCTGTTCTTTTTTCGTGGTTGTTTCTTGTTCATATTTTGAAAACACACAAGGATTGTCTGTGCCATGCTTGATTAAAGAGGATGGATAATGTAAAATGTGCTTATTTATATTAAAGGCTGCGTCTTCATGCTTGCGGTATCTGATGGCCGTACAGAATCACCTTCTCAGTAATACTATATTGATTAAACCTGATGAAAATGATGACAGTGACAGCTCCTTGCAGGGAGAGACATTGAAGGTACAGGTAAACACCAAGTTTTATTCCCAGTACTGCTTTCTCCGGCCAGTGTTCTTCTGACAGTTCTTCTGTCTCCAGTGCAGCTTACTGGTAGAATCTTTGTGTGCCGTCTTGTCAGTTTTTGTTACGTTGATGCATTACATGGTGAAAGCCAATACCGTTCCATATTTCAGCTAGAATCGATGGTTAGTTTTTGTATAATGTCATTGCTTGACCTTGGTTTGTTTAATGAGTTCATCAGTGCCTCCCTCCTAAAAATTTTTATAAAGGGGTTTCATATTTAGCCATTAAGGGGCACCTCTACATGTGCATTAATGCGCTTTAGTTAATGTGCATTAAATCTAGTATCTCCAGGCGTTTATACACATACCTTTTTGTCCTGCAATGCATCAGAGGTCGGGTGGATCAGAGCAGACTCGATTAATCGAGCTGAGGCACACTGTGCTGTGCTGTGTGTAGTTGTATAAGCAGCAAAATGTGCATAAGTGCGCAGAAAATGGTGGCAGTGCACTTTTGAACTAAAGCACCTCTGACGTGTTTTAGTTTAAAAGCACGCCACTGCCATTTTCTCAGCACTGATGCGCATTTTGCCACTTAGAAAACTGCACATGCCACAGTGCCGGGCACTTTTAAAAGCACCCCACACTACAGCGTAAGCATGTGTGCAAATGCCCTCCATTGTGAAGTACTAGGAAAATGCACATTAGCCTGTCTTACTGCGTATGAACTAAATATCAGTTTTTAAGTAATGCTTAATGCACATTAGCTTATTTTAATGCACATTAACTAAACAGAATGCTTTTTTAGTGATACTTTAATGCACATTAAAGCACCTGTGTAGATGTACACAAGGCATGTTTTGGACAGAAAATTAATATGTAGGAAGTCATCTGCATATACATGTTTTTTTCTGTATTTATAGCTGTGAAACAACTAATTAAAAAAAGATCAGTTCTTCTGAGATTTAGATGCGAGTCTGTTGCTTTCAGAAAATGGTTTGGCCTCCCATCACTCAATTGGCATCATTTATATATATTTTTGAGTGTGTTTTGAGCTTAAGTCATGTGGAATTACCTTCTTCCTTGCTTTGTAATAGTTTGAGACCTGTTCACCCTCAGAGCTTTGTCAAAGCTCACCTTTTTCTTCTCACCCCAGCGGGTGTCATGGGAAGTATGACATTGAGGTATTAGAGTGGTTTTGTTGGTTCAAGCTTTATTACACTGTGGTTATAGTTACGTTGATGCTGGAATAGTGTTGTTAGTAATTCTCAGTTTTGTCCCAATGCTTGTCTTGTTTTTGTACGTTATACTGTGATCTTACTAACTGCTGTTGCTGGGCTGTTTGTCTGTTGCTTTATATAGGAGTTTGTGCTTGCAATATTAGGTAGTTTGTTTCTGTTCAAGCTTATTCGGTAAATACTGAATGTTTCAGTACAGTTGTCTGTCATTCTCACTATTCATCCATGTCTTCATTGTTCAGTTTCTCTCTCTACAGTGATCCTCAAACCTGCTAGGACATTCTGTCATCAGGTGCAGACCCTTGGTTGGCTAGTAGCTGCTCTTGTGTGCTGGGGATTGCTTCCCTCTCTAGAAACTGGATGTGCATCCAGTAAAATGCACCTAGTTTCTCCCAGCACTTTTGGGCTTAACATTAATCAAATTTAAGTCTGGGATGAAGCTACTCCTGCAGGCCTGCCAGGTCGCATTACTGTTATTTAATTTGGAAATCCATTCTTTTGCTGCTCAGTTGTTTTATTCTCTAGGAGTTTAAGCATTGTCTAACTTTTTGCACCTAGGAGTTAAAGGCCAGTATTTTGTCTCTTGCTACACAAATCCTGACCGGATGTGATGAAGTCTTAGAAATGCTGCAACAAGTCACTACAGCTCTTATAAATAGTGACATTTCTGACAGAGAGCAGAGGTAAGACAAGATGCCTAAATACCTGTTAGTCTGAAAAAGGTGAGCTGCTGCCCTTCTTATAGACAGAATGGCTCAGTAAAAGGATGGTATCATTATCTGTATTTGTATCTTTGTAATTAAGTTGTTGAAAGAGGACAGGGCTATTTCTTTATATCAGCGGTTCCCAAACTCTAACAGATTGTGCACCACCAATTTAAAATGATACAACTTTAAGTACCACCAGCAAATTTTTGTCATATAAAGTAATTATAATAAATCTGTTAACACGTATCACTGACAGGTTGTCTGCCTACCACTGGTGGTACACGTACCACAGATTGGGAGCCGCAGTTTAATACCATTATTATTTCTACTTCTGGCTATTTCTATTTCTGTCTGTCTGTCTGTCTGTCTCTGTTTCTCTCTGTTTTTGTCTCTCATCTTATAGGCCTCAAGAGCCTGTATGCCATAACTAGAGCCTTCCATCTTCTCCTGTCTTGTGCAGTCCCTTTCCACCGTGTCACATCTTTGCCCATCCCTTCCAGATCAATTTTTATGTAATCTTCCCATCATTGCCTTGGTCTGCCTTGATCTGCCTGAAAGTCTAATACCCTTCACCTCAGCTTCCAGAATTTGTCTTGCATGCCGTATCTTATTGGTTCTTGCAATTTATGATTTAAAAATATTAATGTACTCTGTACATATTAATAGATGTTACTGATGCACTTGAGTATAAGTATTTGCTGCCACAGTTTGAATCATTTATGCAGTCTCATTAGATATGAAACTCATTTCTTTATATAAGAATGGTCATGGCAACTCACAAAAGAAATGTTCCTATGTATATCCTTGACTTTTGCAGATTAAAAGGCCTGGAACAAGTTACTAAGGCAACCATGCTTGGTCATTTGCTTCCTGTATTACTGACATCCCTGATGCATCCAAATTTACAGACTCTTACCATGGCTGATGCACTGATGCCTCAGCTGGTACAGTTGGTACTTTATACCAGTCAGGTATGGTATTTTTATAGTAGCTATAATTAATGATTTTAAATGCATATATTAAACTTACTAGTGGCATTTTCATGTGTAAGCCTCAAAACACAACATGTAGGCTGAAGAAAAACAACAACATATTATCTCAAATATATACCTAAAATGAACTGTGCTGGTAATGCAGCCTCCAAGGTGTTGAGGCATAAAAATATCAGCTAATCATAAGAATTGCCACACTGTGTCACAGGTCCAGCATACCCAGTACCCTGTCTCTGACAGCAGGTGGCTGGTAGCAGTTATTTTATAGGAAGGGTATAAGGAACAAAGCATGGTTAGAGTTGTACCCAGTTACCAGTAGCCATCAGGTGTTGTTTCTATCCAAGTTCTTTTGTTATGTGTATCAGGAAAAGGCTAGGAAGAAATGACTAAGTTAGTTTAATATTGCCTATAGTTCTAGCTTTCTGCTGATTTTTTACAACCCAATTGTTAAGTTACAAAAAAGTTCCTTAATTTTGACAGCACTCATGTGGCTGCAGTAGCTGAAGTAAATTTTGCTTTAGTACTTTAGCTCAGACATTCTGGTATGACGGTATCTTACAAGACACCTTCATAAGCTCCCTTAATATTAACAATTTCACACCTTCCCTGTGGCAACAACAGCAAGTGTTTACTCAAAATAGGATTTTTTGTATGTTTTTAAGAAGTGATTTTAGACAATGAGAACAATGAGAAGAGCTAGGACCATATGACCGGGCATAATTAATGCACGGATTGCAGTCTAAGAGCTGCTGCTTGACACCTGCTGATGCTGGAAACAGATTCCATGCAACGTGACCAACCAAGTTTAAGACACACTGCCGTTAATACTTATGCTGCTAATATTAACAGGCTTCAGGGTACAGATCTACCCTGTTTCAGTAACCCAAGCAATTCTGGAGAAGAGAAGACAGGATTTGATAACAGCCTTCAAATATCTGACGGGTGGTTAAAGAGAATGAAGATTAGACTCTTCTCTGTGGCTGTAAGGGACAAGAGTAGGAGCAATGGCTTCAAACTGTAGCAAAGGAAATTTAGTTTGGCTATTAGGAAGAACTTTCTGACTGGGCATGGTTAAGCAATGAAACCGGCTACCTAGAGAGGCTGTGGAATCTCCATCCCTTGGAAATGTTCAAGAGCAGGTTGAACAGACACTTGACTGGGATGGTTGAGTCAGGGATGAGCATGCCTTGAGCAAGGGGCTAAACTGTTAGATGACTCCCTGAGGCGCCGACCAACCCTGCTTGACTGTGGTTCTATGACTCTTACCATCAAATGTATTGTTTATGTATTGTTAAAGTTACTCCTGTTATGTTACAGACTGCCTTGTTGCTTAAAACTCAGTCTCCAGTTTTTGCGGAAGTGTGCAGTTCCCCCAGTGGTACATCAGACCAGAAGAGCAAGTTGTTACCTGATGAGAGGTGATTGATGTTAGATCAATTTTTTTCTCTCCTATTATGTACCACCTTTCATTACTGATGGCATTCCTGGTTAGAACATTACTTAGGAGTGAATGAAAGAAGCAAGAATCTTAAGGGTCAATACTATAGTTGTCTGTAAATTTCCTTGCAAAGTCATAAAAAGATGTACAAAATGTATTTGATTTTTTTTAAAGGAAGTAAATAATTGAAAAATCAGTCTAATCAAGATGCTTAAATAAAGTACAGCTTCATTTCTGCCCCTTAAACTTTTGAAAAGAATTTCTATAGTCTAGAATCAGAGAGAGCTCTATAACAAAATGCCATGTCTTGTAGCAGAATAGAATATTGAAAATGCATTGGAATTTAAGTTATAATGGGCAAGATGTAATTATCTAAAGTTCTGGCTTTAAATCATGGGTCACAAATGAAAAGCATATACTTTCTGTTTGAAACCTGTTATGATAGCTGCACTTCAGTTTTAGCAGTTGACTTTTCCAACTTGCATCTGTTTAAGAACAGGCGGTATTAAGGTGGTATTTTGAGACGTGAAATGTATTGTGAAACAGCAATGAACAGCATGTTTTGCACTCAGTCGTTTGCTGACCTGGAGTGAAAGTTATATGTGTTCTTTTATGATAATCTTATCTTTTATCAAGTGCTATTCAGGAAGAAAGATTGACATTTTTTTATATTAACATTCAGAAATGAATCCGTTTTCAGTAAAATACATAACTTTTTCTAGAGCTGCTTAAATTTTTAAAACGCCATAAAATATATTTACTAGGTAGACCCTTGGTATCTTTTACTTATATGTAAAGTGTTCACATTATTAAAGACTCAACTCCTGCTTGAAGTGAGAATTAGTCAGGTATTTAATTGCCTTTTGTTACTTGAAGAGCATCACTGGGCCTTTGAAAAGCATGTTACGGTGTCTTGAATGCTTACTACAAAACTAAACAGGTACGTTATGAGTAGTAACTTCTTGCTTTTCTCTGGTTTCAGAATGCTAGAAGAGAAAGAGGAACCAGGTTTTCTCACTGGCTTGAAGATCCCAGCTCCCTGGGCCGCTGGGAAGACTGTAGAAACAGTACATCCTGTCAGGGACAACTATAAATTTAAAGAAACTGTACATATTCCAGGAGCCCGATGTTTATACCTTAGATTTGATAGCAGATGTTCCTCACAATATGATTATGATAAGGTAAGCAAGGGCCAGTACAGCAACTTGCTTATCTCTTAAGTGTTTCTTTCATGAATACCTCTCATTTTCATTTTGGCTGCCACTCGCTCTCCATGGCGCCTTATTTCTAGCAATGACGATAATTTAGGATGCTTTAACTTACAGTAGTACGGCCTCCCTCTGATCAGAGGATCTTAGAATTTAAAGACTGAGAGAAATTATCTGGGGTGATAGGTAGCTGCGAAATAGTATCCCAAAAGAATGGTGTAGGTCTTATCTCCTGGAACATGTGGAATTAGGCTCGACTAAACAAGAGAATATGTTCAAAGGCAGTTACTCTGAAAGGGCAGGGAGATGGGAACAGTGTGATCTTCCTGCATCTTATTCTCTCTCTACCACCCACCATTCTTTTAAGAAAAGTTGCAAAAGGGTATGCACTAAATGCCTACAATGGGCCTGTGTAGAACATAGCGTCTAGTGACTACGTTGTTTAACAAGAAACTTAGTTGGCATATCCTTAATGAATTTGGCTCCTTTACTAGCCTGCATACAAAAAAAAATCTTTTTAATATACCAAAACAGGGTGGTGATAATTGAATGGGAAATCTGTCAGCCCCCAGAAAAGTTACCTTCCCCGCAAACCCAAGCCAGTCTTGTTTGTTTACATCCATTTCATGACTGCTAAGGTGGTTTTTCTGTATTTTAAAACGTTGAATTCATTTGCATTTTCTATGTCACCCAGTTTTCCTTGTTTCTTTAACTTAAACCTACCCGTCTCCTTTGTAGATCAGCACAGTTTGTATCAAACTGGGCAGAACTGGAAAGGATAACTTTCTGACAACAAATGGCTTGTTTACATGGATTAATATTAACGAGTATTTTCAATTTAAGATTGTAGCTACTACCATTTTTCCTTTGTAATTATAGAGCTGCTTTCACTGATTAGTAACCGTTGCTATATGTTCTGTAACATAATAGAGTGAGTCCTGTGGTACCTATATTAGATTTATTAACAGAAATACATCATAATGTATCTGTCACCAGTGACTGGTTAAGCACTTCTTTGGGGAAATTTTTGGGCCTCATCATGTTCCCAATTGAAGTAGCTGGAAAACTTAATTCCTGTTAACTTCAAAAGGAGCAGGATCAATCCCTTTATTGTAGAGAGGCAGCATGTCCTAGTGAGCTGGGCCTGGGAAGTAGGAACCCACCTGATTTCTATTCCGAGCTCTGCCACAGACTTGCTGTGTGACCTTGGGCAAGTCATTTAACTCCTCTCTGCCTCAGTTTCCCCATCTGTAAAATGGGGATAATAATGCTTGCCTTCCCACCTCACATGGCTGTTGTGAGGATTTGTTAATCAGTGTTAATGAAGCGCTTTGAAGATTTGAAGCGCTATACAAGTGCTAAGTATTATTATTATTATTAGATTTTTTTTGTTTTTCTCTTACAGTCTAACAGTGTATTTTATGTTTTGAAGTTGGTGATCTATGCTGGTCCTAACACAAACAGTAGGAAGGTTGCTGAGTATGGAGGCAATACACTGGGATATGGCAGCCGTAGTGTCTTAGGAACTGGTTGGCCGAAAGACTTAGTAAAGGTACAGTATTACAATCCAACGATATTTCACATAGAAAAGTGCCCTCTTGAAAACTGTATAGCATCATTTTAACTGATTTTGTAGCTGTGGAGTCCAAGTATTTGAGCGTAAGCTTACCCTTGCTGAGGGCCCTTGCTAAGAGTCCCTGGGGAAGGAATTCCTGTCCTACATTAGGGTTGCCCCTTTTTATGAGTATGGCGTCACCTTTGACATTAACTTATGTTGCATTGTCATGCTGGGATGCATTAGCAGCATTGTGTAGGACAAGAAAAGAATTGTGCATCAGTCCCTGAGACTTTAGGGACAGTACCTTTCTGCACGCGTGTGTTTATGTAGCACGAGTTCCTACTGAACCTGAGGTTATACAAACTTCTTGGGAGTCTTAGTTGTATCTTGCAAATAGCTCAAAAACCACTAAAACCTGTTAAGTATAACATTTTTTTCTCTCTCTCATTTTGGTTCGGATTACAAAATAAACTAATATGTATATTTAAGAAATAGAAATTTAGTGGAAACCCATTGAAATTCGTATAGATCTATTCACTTAAGCAAATGCGAGAATGCGCTCAGTATGTTTTCTCTGATTCATATAATATCACTTCCCTTATGTAGTGGATGTGCATCACAGTCTTACCTTTTTTGTCCTATACTGTAATTGGGACTGTATGCTTGTATTTCAGTTTTAGAGTTGTTGGCTTGGGAATGTCAGTTCTAGTTTTTCCAAATTAGTGGAGATGGTAGAAAGTTGTCAGGAATGGCAGGGTTCAGTAGTTTTGCCAGCAGCCCCTTCTATTCACTCTAGATTATTTTACCAGCTTTCTCTACTTGGAGAGCTTATCTCTTTTCCTGGCCACAGTGAAGGGCTGTTGCATTGGTCTATGCTGTCAGAAGAATAAAGGAACTGTTTTAGAGGAAATTGGTAGGCCTGTGCTATTTGGCCTCAAGACTTTATTGGTTATTCTTGTAACTCTGTGGCGATACCCTTTTCCCTTGCCCTGCCATAAGTAGCTGGCAGCAAAGCCTAAGCAAAGTGAACCCAGAAAAGGATACTCTTGGAGGAAAGGGGAGAGGGAGGCCGGAGCTTAAATTAGCCTGCATAATTGGAAATAGAATACTTAAATCAACCGTCACTTTAAAATTAATCCATAAAATAAGCCACTTTTGTGAAAGCTGTATTTGTTTACTTTATTGAGTGTCCCTTTTTGTCATTCCTTTAAAATTTAAGGTCGAAGGAGATACAGTCACCTTCTCCTTTGAAATGAGGAGTGGCCGGGAGCACAACACACCAGACAAAGCCATGTGGGGCTTTGCTTGCACAGTTCGAGCACAGGTACTTGCAGTGTAACTTAAGTCTGTCACAGAGACTCAACTTTATTTCAGAATTGTTTTGTGCAATATTAAATTTTTTTAAAATATGAAATTACAAAATGGACCTGATAGCTGTTTTAGTAGCCATGTAACCTATTTCGTTACAGAGTAAGGTTGCCCCGTCTTCAGCATCTTATTTTATTTGCTAGAGATGCTCAGGCACAGTTCAAAAAAAAAAAAAGGAAAGGAAGTGACATTTCTGTAGAACCTTATTACTGAAGGCAACTTAGACCTTCTTTGAGTGTTAATGATCGTGGGTTCAGTGGGGTGGTTGGGTTGGGTATCTCCTTATGAGCTGGGCATTAAGGGGCTAAATGTTTGTTAAATAATGTCTCCAAACTAGACTTGGAGAAGAGGCAGGAAACTAAAGTCAATCACTAAGAGGAAAATTTGTACCACATGAGACAAAATCTGATTAGCAGGATGATAGACTCCCTGTCCTCTACCCAAGAGGACCAAGAATTATTTTTATCTGGCTCCCAGTTCTCTGTGCTTGGGGTTTGATTCTTCCAACCATTGATTTGCAGTATATCTGAAAGTTTGGGGGGTGTTGAAACTGTTAGAGCATGCTTCATTGTGGCACAATTTGATTATGCTTACAGATTTCTTAAATAAGTTGCTTTGATTAGGAAGCAGTTGCAAAGGTAATTGAGCAATGTGATTTATTCCTGTCCCTACTGCAGGAATCCTCGGAAGATGTGTCAGGAGGCTTACCATTCTTAGTTGACCTGGCTTTAGGCCTCTCTGTGTTAGCTTGCTCTATGCTAAGGATCTTATATAATGGACCAGAAATTACCAAAGATGAGGAAACGTGCCACGAGCTTTTAAGATCTAAACTACTACAGAGGTAAAGAAGATCCTGGTTTAATCTGAGTTCAAATAAATTTGTTTTTGGAGGCTTTAAAAAATGCTTCTGTGGTTAAGATCATTGTCATGTAATTGACTTGTTTTAACTATTTAGTAGTGCTCTGTCTTGTGAATTTTCTTACATCCTATAAGCTGCTTGAAAGTTTAGAAATGATCTAAAGAGTAAAGGCTTTAATTACTAGGGTTGTGTGAATAGTGCAAAATGTGTGTTCTGTGAATATTATTTCACACTTAAGAGAAAATTTCCATTTGTGGTTTTTTATATTAGCTTTTGGCAAACAGTTTAGTACTTGAGCTTTATCAACTGAAACACTTATGAAAAGTGTATTTTTAACTCATTATTTAATATTAGCTAAAAGCTAATTCCCAATTTGTGGTGGTGGCTTGGTAAGTAATGTGGCATTTCTGTTCTTAGATTGAACAGTGTGAGTAACTGACAAACACTGCTTGAATTGCAAGTGCTTCAGTCTAATATAAATTGAGATATCTGGGCTATGTGGGTTAGATATGTAAATTACAGCACAAGTTGTAAAAGCAATTTAAATATGCACTGTTAGGGTGATTTATGGACACTAAGAATTATCGTTCCTTGAATCTGCTGAAAGGATTCATTAACAGAAAAAGACAAAATTCCTTGAATGAATTATTCATTCCAAATTAGGAACTCAAATTACATGAATTATCTTTTCTAAACTTGAACCCAATGCTCTGACTTTGTTAGAGGATTGTTATGTGTGCATTCTGGACTTTCTGTGCCCTGTTCTGCTTTAGGTTATGTTTTCATTCCAAACATAGATATATGATGATTCACTACAACCCAAGGGTGAAACAGTCAAAATTTGACTCTTATCAGTGCTACTTCCCATATGTTGTGGGGTTTAGGCACTGCTTAGAATACAAGCCACATTCTTTCTAGTTCTCAGAGAGCCACATGTACCCTGTAGTAGGCGGGAGTATGTTCTGAACCATTCTGTCTTTTAGGATGTGAAAAGTAAGAGTTAGAAAGAAACTAAAAACCCCTTTGATATAGGTACTTTTTTTTCCCCCCTCAGATGCCAATGGCAGGTGGAGGCAAATGGTGTAATATCTCCAGCCCTCACTCCAAGTCCTTCTCCACTGCCTCTTACCATAGATGAAGATCGAGAATTCACATATCCTTCTGATGTTCTTGTGCCTCCTGTGGGACACTACTTTGATCTGCCTAGAATCAGGCTGCCTCCAGGAATCATGATAAAACTCAGGGAAATATCTGGACGTGCTCGGCCCCAGTTTAGACCTAGTATAAAGTAAGTAGTCGTGGCTTTCCCACTGTTTTCCCAACTCAGTTTTAGTAATAAGATGGCTGATGCATAAAGGGGATAAACTAAAATGAAATCTCTGACCTCTCAGTGGTAGTAATTGCAGAGAGATGCTTGCAAAAATATATTGAAAGGAAATTATTTTCAACTTGATGGCCTTAAGTTTAATGTTTGCATTGTTGTTTACGTAGGCTAATGAATTAGAAATATAAATTGTCAAAGTATGCAGTGAGCCTTGCCCTAATCTGTTTGTTTTCCACCTGTAATGTCAGAGAAGTGATTCAGCCAGAAGTAATGGAAGAGATGGTAGTTTCGTGTGTTATTAAACATTTGAACTTGGTTGATGCACTCCAGTCCCTAATAAACTTTCAGTATCAGGAAGAGCATGCAGAGGAATATGACCTTCTGTGTAAAATTATGGGAGAGACCTTCAAGAAGCTAAATGCCATGGAAAGACAATTGCAGGTAAGAAAGCAAAAGACACGTCAGCAGAGAGAGCAAAGGATGCTATTGATGCATTAGAAATGTAAAAAGTATCAGTGCACTTGACCACTTGTTTTCTGACTGAGGTTAAGATGAATGAATACATATGTATATTCAGTATTGGTTTTCTGGCTTTTAATAGAGTGTAGCTGAACTGGAACAGAAATGGCAAAGTGAAGTAGATGATGCCATGCATGGAAAGCTGGAGAACAATGTTCCATTCTTTTATGATTATCATTTCAATGAGGTGAGTTCTGCACTTATTCACGCTGTTAAGACTTTGCTATTTTATTTTTGTATTTATGGACTGCAGTAATAGCCTTTTATTTATTTGCTAATTTTTTTACTATGTTAAATGCGTAAATAGATGCAGAAAGGATAGCATACTTATGTGTGGGCTGAAGATAGAAATTTTCTATAAATGTCAACCAGCATTGCTTTTTGGACTAGTCTTTTTTTAAGAAGTGAAAGGGGGGGTTTTTTAAGGCGTAAAATCTCACAAAAGTATGTAACCAGAGTAAACTGGAAAGTAGTGGATATTATAACTGCTGCCATGCCTAGTGCTTGTATTCAACAAATCACGGTTCTATTTAGTCATTTATATTTCAACCTTTCTTCCTCAAATCCTTTTATCTACAGAGTAAAATGAAAGAACTGGAACTCTTATGTTCAATGAAAGAAGTGTCCTTTGATGGAAGTGATCTTGAGAATGTGGTCCTAGCATTAAGGTTAGTGGTTGGATCTGTTAGCTGAGTTTTCAGTCCTCTGTTCAGAAAGGTAGATCAGGAAATGAGTGACATGAAGCTTATGTAGAGTCCCATTGAGTTATGTGAGATTATTCATGGATTTAAAATTATGCATGTAGATAAGTATCCTTTTAAACAGGGTTGTGAATCCTATATAGTAGCATTCCTGACTCATTGATATGGAACAGAAGTGTTTACTAAATAATATTTTGAAGACAGAACTTTTAATTCTATTGAAAGGTCTTTCCAGGCCTACATATAACTCCTACATAAAGGAGACATTATTTAGGAGCAGCAGAGTTCATAAATATTAAAACATGTTGATTGTAAGTAGAGTTACCTAATTTGAGATGTTTTACAGAGAGATGGGCAAAATAATCCTATTAGATTCTTCTGTTTTCTAGTTGAATTTGTTTCTTGACATTAAAAGCTTAAGTCTACAAGATGAACAGATCTGTACATAACTTTCCTTAGTGAAGTTATATTTTTGGCAGCATAAAAATAAGTAAGTGTGCATTGACTTTTGTTTCATCATTTTAGGGAGAAATTTTTTCAAGAAGTGAATTCTTTGGTTCAGAAACCCCCTCATCCCCTGGCTAAAACAAAAACCTTAGTAAAGAGCCTGATGAACAGAGCAGAACTACTGCTGCATGTTACTATTGCAGCCCAGTCTGGTATCACAAGAAGTATATCCGGTACGCCTGCTGAGACACCAGGTACCAATTTACATTACATCTGATACTTAATATTGTGTGTTTATTTACCATTAATTCAGTTAAACATTCCTGTATTTTGTGTTCTAAAAAGCACTGTTAAAAGCTTGAAAATGATGTTTCTCTACTTCTATTCTTTTCCATTCAGTATGCGCTGTATTTTTGTTTGCAAGAACAGTGAACCAAAATGGTGTGCTGTGTGCCAGCATTGTCACTTTGCCATTAGCAGAGCTGATTGCTGAATTGAAAAGGCAATGGTGGGAATTTGCAAAAAAAATTTATAGTTACTGCAAACAGTTTTAGGGTGGGTGGGGGTTTAAAAACTTGAATGTGTAGCATTAACTTTAAAAATTAGTCTCCTGACATGATTCACTAGGTGATATAACCTTTAGCATGGTTATCTAACATTTTGATGCTTGGCTGGATTCCACTTTAAACATCAGTTTTATGGGGTAAAATATAAAGTAATGGGTAAGACTTTTGTCTGTCTATTCTAATTTCCGGCCAGGGCCAATATTTTGTTCTTAGAGAATAGTCACATTTCTCCATGTTGCATCTGATCGTATATGTTCCCTGCATGTGGATTTGTGGGATTTTACTTCCTGGCCAGTCCAGAAGGACAAGGCTTAACTGCCATTCTGTCACTGTTAACTTGCATAGCTGTTTTGCATTTTAAATCTGGCTGAAGAATGTCTGTCATGTAATGGTGAATTCCACACATTGGTTACATGCTGCAGAAATAGCACCTGTTTTAAGATATTATTTCATGTGTCTATCAGTTACCATCTGATTCATAGTTTCATAGTTTTTAGGGTTGGAAGGGACCTGAGCAGATCATCTAGTCCAACCCCCTGCCATGGCAGGAAAGAGTACTGGGGTCAAACGACCTGAGCAAGGTGTTCATCTAACCTCCTCTTAAAACCCCCCAGGGTAGGAGCCTGCACCACCTCTCTTGGAAGTTGGTTCCAGACCCTAGCCGCCCTGACCATGAAAAGCGCCTCCTGATGTCTAACCTAAACCTACCCTCTGCCAGCTTGTGACCGTTATTCCTGGTCACTCCTGGTGGTGCTCGGGGGAACAGGGACTCCCCCAATGCCTGCTGATCCCCCCTGACTAGTTTATAACAGGCCAAAAGATCCCCCCTCAGCCTTCTCTTTTGGAGGCTGAACAGGTTCAGGTCCCATAGCCTCTCCTCGTAGGGCCTGCCCTCCTGTCCCCTGATCATGCGAGTGGCCCTCCTCTGGACCCTCTCGATGCTGTCCACATCCCTCTTGAAGTGCGG